CTAATTTCCTTCTTTCCTATTCATTTTTTCTCTCCCTTTCCTTACATGTTTTAATCATAGTTTTTATTTATTCTCATTTTAAACATATTTTTAATCATGATGATGAAGTGAATCAACTTTTCACCTGTTGCTTTCTTTGATGTCCTGAAGCCGTCTTCACAGATACAAAGGAAATGGGGTTTGTAGATTTAGTTTGTTTTATGGCAAAGAAGGAGCTCTTTGTTGTTCTGCTGACTCAAACCAGTTTAGATTTCATGCACATGGACACGGAATAACCTGAGGCCGCAAACTTTCTAATATCTATGTTTATGAAATTCTCAGAACTTTTGGCAACTGCAGTATTTCAGGCTTCATCTATGACCGTATCAGTGAATTGTCACAAACTCTTTTCCAATGTGCGTCTGAGCTCATGTTGCTGAATGTATCAGTGTTCTTATGCAGTAGCACCTGAGGACTTGAATGTAATGATTTTGGTCTTGTGGTCTTGTTCTTTACCCAGCAGCATTCTGTTGGTACAGCTGGTTAGGTTAACATGGGTACCAAAAGGGTTAACCTACACCAGAACTTTTTGCGTTAGTTTCCAGAGCACGCATTGGTCTTCTCTTCTGGTTTCCCCACAAAGTCTAAATTCATCTTTGGTGTGAATCTGATTAAAAGTGTTGTGTCTCTAATTTTCAAGTCTCCAAAATTATGGTAACATGTCATTGTCAGCAGAGATTGCTTAGGACAAAAATGATGTGTAGGGTTATGTTCAGGGAGTAATAATCTCTCCATCCTATGAAAATGAACAAAAAGGAAACAGGAACTGATGCTGCTCATGCTTTCACCCTTTATGGTGTTGTTCACACTCGTCTCATCAGTAAAGATCTCCTGAAGCTGCTCTGATCTGTTTACTAACACAAGTAAGATAAAATCAACCAGAAAAAAATAGCAACAAAATTAAACTAGGTGTTGTCTTTTAAAAATATGTTCTGTTTTGCTTTACTTGTAGAAAATCAGAGAAACATTTTTGAATTGTTACCTGATTGAGGTCATCCGAGGACATCAGGTGATAAATAATAAAATAAATAATAAGAAATAAACTCCTCCTTGAACTGTCACCTTATCTGGGTGGAGGAGTTTGAGTGCCTAAATGATCCTAGGAGCTATGTTGTCTGGGGCACTTCGTGCCCCTGGTAGATTCTCCCATGACAAATTGGGCTTAGGTGAAGGGTGAGACAAAGAGCGGTTCACAGGATCTTTCATGGAAGTAAATTCAAAGAGTCGGAGTACCCGGCCCGGAGGGTTACCGGGGTCCCATCCTGGAGCCAGGCCTGGGGTTGGGGCCCATGAGCGAGCGCCTGGTGGCCGGGCTTTCGCCCATGGGGCTCGGCCGGGCCCAGCCCGAACCGGATACATGGGCTCATCCAACTGTGGGCCCACCGCCCGCAGGAGGAACATGAAGGGTCCGGTGCAATGTGGATCGGGTGGCAGACCAAGGCGGGAGCCTTGGTGGTCCGATTCCCGGACAAGAAAACTGGTTTTTGGGACATGGAACGTCACCTCACTGGCGGGGAAGGAGCAGGAGCTTGTGGCAGAGGTTGAGCGGTATCGGCTAGATATAGTCGGACTCACCTCGACACATAGCATTGGCTCTGGAACCCAAGTCCTTGAGAGGGGTTGGACACTCTTCTTTGCTGGAGTTGCTCCGGGTGAGAGGCGGAGGGCTGGGGTTGGCTTTTTGTTAGCCCCAAGACTCTCTGCCTGTGTGTTGGTGTTTACCCCGGGGGACGAGAGGGTAGCTTCCCTGCGCCTTCGGGTCGGGAAACGGGTCCTGACTGTTGTTTGTGCTTATGGGCCAAATATCAGTTCAGAGTACCCACCCTTTTTGGAGTCCCTGGGACGAGTGCTAGATAGTGTTCCATCAGGGGAGTCCATTGTCCTGCTGGGGGACGTCAATGCTCACGTGGGCAATGACAGCTTGACCTGGAGGGGTGTGATTGGGAGGAACGGCCCACCTGATCCGAACTCAAGTGGTGTTTCCTTATTGGACTTCTGTGCAAGCTGCAGTTTGGTCATAACGAACACCATGTTCGAACATAAGGATGCCCATCGGTACACTTGGTACCAAGGCAGCCTAGGTCGTAGGTCGATGATAGACTTTGTAGTCGTATAATCTGACCTGCGGCCATATGTTTTGGACACCCAAGTGAAGAGAGGAGCGGAGCTGTCAACTGATCACCACCTGGTGGTGAGTTGGATCAGATGGCAGGGGAAGATGTCGCGTAGACCTGGCAGACCCAAACGCATAGTGAGGGTCTGCTGGGAATGCCTGGCAGAAGAACCTGTTAAGAAGGTCTTCAACTCCCACCTCTGGCAGAGCTTTGACCGTGTCCCGAGAGCAGTGGGGGACATCGATTCCGAGTGGGCCTTGTTCCACTCTGCGATTGTTGAGGCGGCTGTTGCTAGCTGTGGTCGTAAGGTGGCCGGTGCCAGTCATGGTGGCAACCCCTGTACTTGCTGGTGGACACCAGAGGTTCGGGGAGCCGTCAGGCTGAAGAAGGAGGCCTACAGGGCGTGGCTGGTCTGTGGGTCTCCGGAGGCAGCAGACAGGTACCGGATAGCGAAGCGGGGTGCAGCAGTGGCAGTTGCCGAGGCAAAATCTCGGTTATGGGAGGAGTTTGGTGAGGCCATGGAGAAAGACTATCGACCGGCTCCAAATAGGTCCTGGCAAACTGTCCGGCGCCTTAGGAGAGGAAGGCAGCAACTTGCTCACACTGTTTACAGTGGGAATGGGGAGCTGCTGACGACAACTGGGGCTATGGTCGGACGGTGGAAGGAATACTTTGAGGAGCTCCTCAATCCCACCTATTTGCATTCCAAGGAGGAACCAGAGCCCGGAGACCTGGGGATGTACTGTCCAATCTCGGAGGCAGAAGTTGCTTAGGTAGTCAAACAACTATACAGCGGCGGAGCCCCGGGGGCGGATGAGGTTCATCCTGGGTATCTCAAGGCTATGGATGTTGCAGGGCTGTCATGGTTGATACGTCTCTGCAACATTGCATGGTCATCGGGGGCAGTTCCTGTGAAGTGGCAGACCGGGGTGGTGGTCCCCATCTTTAAGAAGGGTGACCTGAGGGTGTTTTCAAACTATAGGGGGATCACACTCCCTGGAAAGGTCTACTCCAAGGTACTGGAGAGGAGGGTCCGATCAATAGCTGAATCTCAGACTGAGGAGGAGCAATGTGGTTTTCGTCCTGGCCGTGGAACTGTGGACCAGCTCTATACCCTTGCAAGGGTGATGGAGGGGGCTTGGGAGTTTGCCCAACCAATCCACTTGTGTTTTGTGGATTTGGAGAAGGCTTATGACTGTGTCCCCAGGGGCACCCTGTTGGGGATGCTCCAGGAGTATGGGGTGGGTGGCTTTCTGTTAAGGGCCATTCAGTCCCTTTACCAGAGGAGCATGAGTTTGGTCCGCATAGCCGGTAGTAAGTCGGACCTGTTCTCAGTGAGGGTTGGACTCCGCCAAGGCTGCCCTTTGTCACCGGTTCTGTTCATTACCTTTATGGACAGAATTTCTAGGTGCAGCCGTGGTGTGGAGTGTGTCGAGTTTGGTGGCAGGAGAATCTCGTCTCTGCTTTTTGCGGATGATGTGGTCCTCCAAACTTCATCCAGCTCTGACCTTCAGCTCTTGCTGGGTAGGTTCGTGGCCAAGTGTGAAGCGGCTGGGATGAGGATCAGTACCTCCAAATCTGAGACCATGGTTCTCGACTGGAAAAGGGTGGCTTGACAACTCTGGGTCGGGGGAGAGGTCCTACCTCAAGTGGAGGAGTTTAAGCATCTCGGGGTCTTGTTCACGAGTGAGGGTAGGAGGGATCGGGAGATCGACAGGCGGATTGGTTCGGCGTCTGCAGTGATGCGGACGCTGAGCCGATCTGTTGTGGTGAAGAGGGAGCTGAGCCAGAAAGCCAGGCGCTCGATTTACCGGTCGATCTACGTCCCAATCCTCACCTATGGTCATGAGCTTTGGGTAATGACCGAAAGAACGAGATCGCGGATACAAGCGGCCGAAATGAGTTTCCTCCGTAGGGTGGCCGGGCTCAGCCTTAGAGATAGGGTGAGGAGCTCGGACATTCGGGAGGGACTCGGAGTAGAACCGCTGCTCCTCCGGATCAAAAGGAGTCAGTTGAGGTGGTTCGGGCATCTGGTCAGGAAGCCTTCTGGATGCCTCCCTGGGGAGGTGTTTCGGGCATGTCCTGCCGGCAGGAGGCCCCCGGGGTCTACCCAGGACACGTTGGAGAGGTTACATCTCCAATCTGGTCCGGGAACGCCTTGGGGTCCTGCCGGAGGAGCTGGTGGAGAAGGCCGGGGAGAGGACGGTCTGGAGCTCCCTAGTTGGGATGCTGCCCCGCGACCCGGACCTGGATAAGCAGAGGAAGATGACGACGACGAATAAGAAATAAAATTAAGATGATTTTTTCCAAATGTGATCAGAACGGTTTTGATACAACTTCCAAATGCACACTGGGGGTAATTTCTGTTTTAAACGAGGTCTGAGAAATAGTTTAATCAGCAGCTGAGTGTCAGCATGGCTTACAAGAATCTCATTACGTTACTGAGATGTGCAGTAAAGGCACCTTTATTTGTTTCATGAGACACTAAACTCAATTTAATTGCACGGTTATAAAAATAGCACATCTGGTATTTTTAGTACTTTCTGTGTGGTTTCATCATTAAAAACACAGTTCAATTATTATATATAGCCTAACAATTTGTTGTTTTTGCTGTTGTTTTCTGTTTTCAGTGCTGATGAACAGAAATGTCCTATAGGTGATACCAGACAACTCTAGTGTGTGTGTGTGTGGTTGGCATTTTCACTAAGTCTCAATGGTTCCAGAATAAAGAAGGGACAGTTGAAGCGTTTAGAGAGCGAATAAGTTATGACAGGACGAATTGTTCATTTCTCAAGTTTTCCCTGCAATTTTCCAAACACGCATTTTTCCACAGCACGCAGGACTCACCAGAAAGTAGTTGGTGACGGTCCGCATTCGTTTGTGAGCCAGAATGATCCAAATCACCACCACGTTCCCGACTACAGACACCGCCACGATCCCGCAGTAAGCAGCAGCCCAGAGAGTGATCTGCCACACCGGCTGGATGAACTGATTGAAGCCGTCGGTGCAGTTACCGGAGATGTCCGTCCCGTTACCGCCACTACAATCCGTGCTGTTGGAGTGAGAGTCCATCTTCGGCTTGTTTATTTACTTGGATGGTAAAAATAGATCCGGATCCTGTTACTAGAGTGAATCTCTCTCTGAGGAGGCGTGAAAGGAGCGGCGCGTGTCAACGTGAAAAAAGCGCATTTTACGCACCGTGGAAACGGCCCCAAAACGCACGAGACAGCACTGACCCGCTTCAGGCAGTTTAACACACACACACACACACACACACACACACACACACACACACACACACACACACACACACACACACACACACACACACACACACACACACACACACACACACTAGAGTTGTCTGGTATCACCTATATTGGAATTAATTTTTCTGACCCTGAAATGCATCGTGACTCCTCCGGACCCCACTAATCTCTACCGGATTAGTCTGATTTAGCTTTGGGTCTCTCTGATTATTGCTGTATATAATATATTGCTTTTAATGTTTAAAATAATACCAGGTGCAAGGCTTGAATTAAAAATAATGAAAGACAAATATAACACCCAGTTTAAATTAAAACATTGGGCATACAGATTAGAACAATTCACAAACTGTTATGTGCTTCATTTGTGAAATATTTATACATGCTTTTTTTATTTTCTATAATATGGAATTATTAGAAGTATGCATCTAATAGGTCATTGACATTTATCAGTGTGTAGTATCTAGAGGGGGGTGGGGGCAATCTTGGTCCTCAAGGGCCATTATCCAGCATGCTTTACTTGTTTTCCTGCTCCAACACACCTGATTCCTGGATGAATCACCTGCACAGCAGCTCACCAGGCTCTCCAGCAGCCTGTTAATCACCATTAGATTCAAACCAGGTGTGTTTAGGCAGAGAAACAACAAAAATCTGCTGGATAGTGGCCCTCGAGGACCAGAATTACCCACCTCTGACAGAAACACCTCTGATGAGCATTTATTCAACTGTATGTAGTGTCTCTGGTTTTAGTCATGCACACTTTTGCTTTGTTGCCTATAGTCAATTGTAACTACTAACCTTTAGCTGTTTTTTAATCTATTCCTGTTTTAGATTTTATGAGTTTTTATTGTATTTTACTGTTGTAATTTTAAATTATCTTAGGCTTTAATGTGTTCAGCACTTTGGGTGACAGCGTTGTATAAAAAGTTCTTTAAATAAAAGTGACTTGACTTCACTTGACTTGTAACTCATACCTTCTGGGGGTATTGTACAGGCTCATCTCTAACACTAACGCTTAGTTTTGCAAAATAGGTCTATTGTAGCAACCATGAAGGTGTATGTAGCAAGCTAAATTGTCATACAATTGTTGAAAATAGCATTATTTAATTGTAAGTGAATATTGAAATTAGACACTTGAATTTGCAACTCACATTAAATAGATAAAAACGTCAGTAAGTTAGTGAGGCTCTTAAATAATAGAGGGGAGAAATTCTGGATGTTTCTAAAACTGCCTCTTTGCATCATTCAGCCATGTCTAAGGGAAGGATACTGGCTTCATTTAGACTCATGCCCAGATTTTCTACTTGTGTCATAATTTCAGAAGCAATTAAAAGGAAAATTGCTTCACAGTGTGATGTTTATTGATTTTCTGATTCAACTGTTGACATGGTCCAGTCAAGTAAAGTTGATTCAAACTCTGAAGGGGAGAAATTAAGGTATGTCCATCTAAAACTAATCAGAGGAGATGTAATCCTGCGGGAGCTTCATGTCACAATGCTACCTGTTTTTAGACCTACCTGGCCAGAATGCATGTGTGCCGATCACAGTAGTGAAGCAACAGATGTGTGGAGCTGCACATGAATGAAGGGTTTCAGTCTCTCTGCAGCTCGCTGTCTGTCTGTTGCATCTCATCGAGGCTATTAGTGTCCACAGCAGGAGAAACAGGAATTCAATCATGTTTGTCACCTGCTCCCCTCCCAGCTGCTGAAGCTACCACAGAGCTGGTCTTATGTTAGAACAAGTGATGGAGAAATAACATGAAATAAACAAGAAGAGGCAGGTTCACAGGAGAATGACAGAGGGCTCTCTTCATTTATCTGTTTATCTGGAGAACAACGGATTTCACAAAGGAATCAAATTCTTAAATATAGAGTTGGTATCAGGTGTACTCATCAGGGAGGCTTCAACTAACATCATGCCAGTGATGTAGAAAGTCATCAGCAAACCAATGTAGAGGAGGAAAACTTGCAAACGTGTAAAATTATTGATGGAGTTGAGCATTAATTAAGCAAGCCTACTGATTTAGTGGTAAAAGTGTCTCTGATGCTCAAACTTCCTAAAATACCCGTCTGATTAAACGATGTGAGGAAATTCTAAAGTAGAAGTAAATAGGTGACGGTTGACTTGCTGCATGTAAGGAGTCAAGTTAACCCCCCTGTTCCCTTGTGACCAAGGCTTAATGACAGACCAGTACATGTGTGCAAAGCTGAGTAGCTCTTGAAGCCATGGAGGTGATGGACAGTGCAGAGTTGTGCTTTGACCATGAAGGCCACCATCACCACAAGCTGCCTCCAGATGAGGCACCAGTCCACCACAAGCTTGCCCCCTGTGAAATCAGAACATATGTGTATAATTTAGCTCCTTCTTTCTTGATTTCCCTTTTCTGTTGAATCATACAAAGCACACCAGGTTTATTTATGCATCAATTAGTGCATCTGTTAGGACAACAATTACATTTTGGCTTACATCATGCGATGGCTGGAGGGCAGACGAGGACAGGTGGACCTTTCCCGGTGGCTTTGATGTCACATGGACACTTGGATTTCTGAGGAAGTGTCCAAGTTGTGCCCAAAGTTGTGAGGAGTTATCAGGATATGTGAAAGAAAAGCACAAATATTTTCAATAAATGCAGATTGTGGATCAAAAAGGGCACTCCTTGGACACAAATTAGCCACTGATCCCAAGTTAGGTTCCCCAGAGAAAGCTGTCTGATCAAATGGGTTCATCACTGAGCACGCTCTGTAATCAGTTATTTAAACTGTGACTCCCCTGTCCCCAATCAATGTGGTATTATTTCTGTTTCAATCAATCAATCAATCAATCAATCAATCAATCAATCAATCAATCAATCAATCAATCAATCAATCATACTTTATTAATCCCAGAGGGAAATTAAAGTTTCAGTACACACAATTCAGAGACCAGACATACATGGGCAAGACACATGGCAAGAATTGGTGACTGTGGTCATTCGCAACCAAGAGTCGCGCTACCTTAATAGAGATAGGAGGGGTTTAAATGAAGGTTGGTTCAGGTGGAAGGAAAAAAAGGCACTTCAGAGCTACCCTCCATAGGGAGGGCAGCTTATATCATGTATAAATATCCAAGATATGATATAAGCTCATGTGCTAATATGCTCGGTCACGCTCAGAATCTAACAACTGATAGCAAACAGTGTTGATTCTAGTGTGTAGTTAATCTCTACAAAAAAAAAAAAAACACATCAGACTTATGTGCAATAGACTTCAGACATTACACAACATAAGTGTCCACTAGGTGGGGTGGTAAGTTGGGACTATCCCTACTTCAATTCCTGCAGCCACGAAGCAGCGCATGTCACCTCAGTGTGGATAAGGGAGGAGCATTGAGGGTTGGAGGGTTGCAGTGACCCTGGAATGTTTCAGCGGCCTTCCCGCAGTCCCGCCCAAACTGGGATAGGAGACAGAGTTGAGTTGCCATAGTGACAGCACGTTCCACATATCTTCTGAGGGGGGAGTTTTTGTTGTAGCCTTGCAGGCTCAAGGACGCCAGATTCCGATTAGAAATTGTTTTGGGGCCTGACGGAAATAATTTCCTCTCTGTCTTACAGTTTGTTGGTCCTCAACCTCTCAAAATCCCAATAATGGACATTAAACGATCCCAATCCGTGCTGATTCGTCCACTCTGTCCTTGATGGCATCCATCTTTGTGCCAATGCATGAATCTCGGCCAAAGGCCCGAGCTTACGATTCATCTCGACACTTATAAGAGTCTGTGAATTCACGTAGCAGTGCAATCCATCTCTGAGCTCCGGTATCCGGCCAATATTCCTCGACAGCTCGTTATTTTCCGGTAAGCCAGGTAGCCTCCAATGCCGATCAGCAGGAAACCCGACACCAACACCACGAATATCCACACATCTTCAGAGTCCTCCACAGACAGCTGGTCTGTCCCGGAGGGGCATCCGGGAGCCCCTTCTCCCGTTTTCATTGTTGAAAAAATTTTATCAATCACGTTGAGTGACCAACTGACGAGATCCATTTTAGTGAATTTCAGTTTCCAGTTTCCAGAAAAAATGCAGAAGCAGCCGTGCACCCAACACACACAGACAGACAAAGGTCTTGAGGATAAGATATGGAGGAGAGGAGGAAAAAAACTGTCTGCACCCTCCAAGAGCCAGAAGGTTGGACAGCCATTACGGACATGAGATACATCTGGGTTTGGTAGACTTCTACCCTTTGAAGGCTGCCCCTTCGTTTGCCTCCTCTGCTCAGTGGGGAGTTCACCCTGCTACCTCTGATGTTTGGCTTCTTGTTATGTTTGGGTTTTGCACCATGTACTTGTCCACACATCAAGGCATTCTAACATAACTGATCAGCTGTGTTACCTTTTTAGTTGAATAAATCATCATGTTAAAACACCACCTCATGCTGTCTTCTTGAGTTTGGTGAGTGTGGCTGTAAGAAAACAAAATTAAAACCATTTATCCCTTTGCTGAAGAGACCAGGCCTTGAACAAGAAGTGTGGGTTAATTTCTCACTTTCTACTGCTAGCTACTGGAAAAACTGGTTTACAACCAGCTAATGGTATTCCTGGAGCAATACGAAATCTAAGAGAATTTTCTATCAGGTAAAAAAGGCAGGTCATAGCACTGAAACTAATATTTTATCAGTTTTTAATTATATTTTATTGGCTACTGATGAGACAGATCCTGTGATTTTTCTGCTCCTTGACTTGTCAGCTGCTTTTGATACGTGGACCACAGCATCCTTTTGGACCAGCTTGACAAGTGGGTTGGGATTACAGGACCTGCATTTGAATGAGTCAGATCCTATCTGACTCACAGGACTATCTCTGTCACCAAAGGGAGTTTCCCCTCGGACAAGGTTCCCCTCTGTTAGGAGGTTCCACAGGGTTCTATCCTTGGACCCTTGTTCTTCTCACCGCGTTTTTACCTTCAGGACTGCTCTTTCGGAAGCATGAAGTTAGGTTTCACCATTTGATTGCCAGATTTACTTTCCCGTCTCCAAATGCTCCTCTGATGGGTTACAGCTGTTCATTAATTGTTTAGAGTAGGTGAAAGCCTGGCTAGCAGACAACCTCCTCTGTTTAAATTAGGCTAAATCAGGGCTGATTGTCTTTAGGTCTGGTTCAGGGAATAGTTGCCTGGTTCCAGTGGATTTATCCAAACTTTCATCTGTAGAGAAGGGGATGGTGACCATCTTGGGAGTGAAGATTGACCTTTCATTTGATAAGCATACTATGTAAGCACGACTGTGCAGACATGCTTCTTCCACCTGCGCCACTTGTCCAGGGTTATTGTTCTCGAGGACGCATCTTGAAACTGTAATCTTTTAATCACATCGAGGCTGGAAAAATGTAATTCTGTTCTGACTGGGGCATGTAAGGCATCCATAAACAGGTTGCGGCAGCTAGGTTTCTGTCTGATCCAAGAGGGAGGGATCACGTCACCCCAGTGCTGACGGACTTACACTGCTACAGTCCATTTTAGAACTGATTTTATGGTTTTAGTCTTTCTAAATAAACTAAAACACTTAAGAACAGCCCTGAGGGCCGAAACAGCTCTTCACAACATAATTGTAGCAGTTTAGGTAATCATTATTTAACTGCTGTTAGCCCTGCTGATTATTTTTGTTATTTTTAAGCTGTAAATGTCCAGCATTTCCTATTCAAAATCTCAAACTCTGAGACTCCACAGAACTTCTACTTGTGTCACCAGATTTAATCCAGACTAACAGACTTCATGTTGTAAACATTGCTTTTAGAGACTGGACAATAATTTAATCTTCTGGATTTTCATTCTTGTCTCTGACTAAGAAGTGGACTACACATTTTTAAGTGTGTGTATGCAGTTGGACACTGATGGTGTGCATTGTGCATAGAGCCATGACAGGCCACAGGGCCCCTCACAACAGCCTCCTTCATTGTTACAAAGGTTGTTTATTTTGCCAGAAGCCTGTTTATGTGGTACACGTCCAGTGTCAGCTGTCACACTTTTGACTGACAATTTAGCTCTGGTTTAGCACACAAAAACAAACACCAAAGAAAAGAAAGAAGTGAGCACCTCAGGTTTTGAATAAGCAACAAGAAGGTTAAAGTTTATAGTGAAGAAAAAAAGGTTTTCCCATTCCTTCTGCTTTCTGATGTTTTTGTTCAGAGTGATCATCAAAAATACAGAAACCATCTCATTTTTCTTAAATAATAAAACTAAATTTCTGTCAGTGTTAAGCTTTTTGGATTTTAAAGTTGAAAATAAATACTTTACAAAAAATGACATACAAAATATTCACACATCATATAATTAGGTATATCATACTAGAATAAATGTATTATAAAGTTTCCTTATGTGAACATGATTTGTACTAAAGAAGCTCACAGGGAAAAACACATAAAAATCCTCTTCCGCTCAGAGGTGTTTTTGCACCACAGAGAACATCTGATATAGTAATAAATATTATGTATTTTATCTAGAATAAGAAAAGAAATGTTTAGTTGAAAAAAACAGAAGTGGCTTTAAATCAGACTAGACGACCTAGGTAAACTAATGTTTTTAGCCTAAGTTGTTAAGTAAATCAAAACATACAAAACATTAAGAAAATCTTCATGATCCAACAAATTCCAAATATTTTCTGGAATTTTGAACTTAATATTTACTCAAATTTGTGTCAAATCTAATTCACATTATTCATAAATGAAAACAAAAACTATCAAAGGGTTTTTAAGTTGGTTAATTTTATCACACAGGTTTATTATCAAAATAATGTAGATAAATCTGACAACTTTCAGTCAAAATCAATACTGGTAGCTACATGTATTATCGCATCTTTAAACATTTTATTTACAATAATGTACACCTGCTTAACCAAGTAGATTCAATAGTTTCCTTCCATAAATTCTCATATAGAGAAGGGCATGATGTGTAAAAATGTTTTTAACCCAGATGAACAGTCACATGCATGAGCTCTGTCCTGTCCATCTAGCCTGTAGGTTTACCTCTTCAATAAAACAACACTGATATATTTAGTTATGATTCCAGGTGCTGCCAGAGAAGGACAGAAGCCATCTGGTGGCCACTCGCAGCAACATGTAAATAGTATGATATCATATTTCTTCTGATTTATTAATGACTTGGTTAACCCTCTGGAGGCAGGCGTTGCAGATTTGCAACGTTAAAACCTACCTACCTGGTTACTCCTCGTACGTATTTCATGAGCATTTTTTAACTGAGAAGTACCCCTGAAGGACTTTGTTGTTCGTCCTTTTATCAAAACTTATTTTGAGCCTGAGAGGGTTAAACTGGTTCAAAAGTGAATGGTACTTAATGATTAGATGTTAGGAACAGCCTAATATTAGCATACCATAAAGACACAAACTGAATGTTTGGAAGGTTGGGGTACATGTATGACAGTTATTCTGTGAGTGTGTGTGTGTGTGTGTGTGTACATGTGTGCTTGTGTGTGTGCACGTGTATGTGTGTGCATCCTATATGCGTGTGTGTGTGTGTGTGTGTGTGTGTGTGTGTGTATGCATGCGCATATGTATGGGTGTGTGCGTGTTTAATTGCTTGATTGCACAATAATAAACCAGCAGACACATTTTCATGAGACTAGTAGAAGCTGATACTTGGATGAGCGTCTCAAATTGAATTACTTTCATTTCCCCTGGATCACCACCAACATGGCTAATCAAACCTCTCCTGCAGTGATGAACTCATGTAAAGGCTTTGACCAGATGTTGTGAACAATGTGTTTCCTGTGGGAGGATCTCATGACCACTGATACTGTTATCGATCACATTTAACACGTAAATTCTTTGATCTGCAACATTATGAATGTGTAACAAACACCGTTCTTCTATATGTTATGAGTAAAGATCAAATGTATAAAAGAGCATTAAGAACATGTGTGTAAATAGCACGGTAAAGTTGAAGTATCTCTGGGTCACGTTACTCCTGCTAAATAAACTCAGTGTCAGCATCCATGGGTTTGTCATTAATGAGGTTTGAGGAAAATGTGAATGGAAGCCCAGCTAGTGGAATCAATCGAGCCCCCCCCCACACCCACACACACACACACACACACACACACACACACTAAAGTCACATCCGATACCCAACTGTGCGGTCACTCCATCAGGGTACAGTCTTACTCTGTGGATCAGACACACACCTTTAGTTTAGCCTGTCTTAACTTTAAGCTTCATCTCACATCAGGTAAGACTATTTCTGTTTATAAATAATGTTTTTAACTTTGTATTCAGTTTAACATTTAAAAGTTTATTTTGATTAAGACTTGGAGTTTTGAAAGGCGAGAATCACATGTTTTCACATGTGCTTGTGTAAAAGGAATGTAAATCAGTGTGTAAAAACACACCAATGCCTTCTCTTATATAAGTATTCCCTAAACGATTGTATTAGCTTTGTAATTTTAGCTAAGGGGCAGAAAATAGTGGTAAAACCAGGAAATGTTAGCAAAATCAAGTTAACATTTTTTTTAATCATCGTCAAACCTTTTGACCTATTTTTATTGACTCATCATCAGAAAAATCTCGAGTGACTTTTAAAGAACTCAACCCCCAAAATTTGAGACCACTTTAAAATAATGTATTTTTTATTTCATTTATTTTTGTATACAAACAAACTATTATTTTTTTAATAATTTTATTACAAATAATGTTTACTAAGAATAAATAAAAAAGTGTTTTATACGTTTTACATTTTACACTATTGACACTACTCCAGAACTGTGTTTTTTATCCTGTCCTCTCAAACCCTTGCTGGCTAAGGCGTTGTTTTTGTTTATTGATCCCGGACTCCTCTGACTGTTTCCCAAGTCTCTCCTGGAGGAGAATCAATGACTGTCTGAATAAATACAAGTGATGAAACCTGAAATAAATTTAATCGAAGCCATCTCTTGTGCAGCTGAAAGAGAATTTCCTGCACGACACAATGACTTGGCAATAGCCACAGTGTTATTTTAAACTAGAAAGAAGAACAAAGTTAAATCGTGTTAAGCAGAAAACGACAGGAACACAACAGACTTTTATGTCCTGAAAATCAGCATTGAGCCAGCTACATCACAAATATAATATAAATGTTATTTTTGCAACAAATACAACCTACCGTTTTAATTTTTGATTGTTTTTATTTGACAAAAACAAATTAAATATGAAATAACCAAAAGTCAGCATCTGGGAAAAAATGGTCTAAGGTTTGTTAAGACATGTAATCATAAAAAGTTCTTATTTATGTACCAAGTTATGACAGGGCTAGCTTTGTTTCAGCTTCATCATTTCAGATAAAATTCTGGTGTGTAATGACAATACAGGTCTGCGTGTACACCAACACTCAATGAATGCATTTGTCTTTGATGTTATTTTAATGTGTGTCTTGTGTTTGGTGTCTGTACTGAACAGAAGATAAGAGGTCTGCAGAAGTCTGAGCTAAGAAAATGAATAAAAGAGCTAATTTGGAATCCTGCTAGTATTAATTCTGGAATACGACATGAGGGACTAAAATGCCACCTCTCCGGGTACTCCGGCTTCCTTCCACAGTCCAAAAACATGACTGTTAGGTTAATTTGTCTGTCTAAATTGTCCTTAGGTGTGTGTGTGTGTGTGTGTGTGTGTGTGTGTGTGTGTGTGTGTGTGTGTGTGTGTGTGTGCATAATTGTTTGTTCTGTGTGTCTCTGTGTTGCCCTGCGATAGATTGGCTCTCTGTCCAGGGTGTACCCCGCCTGATTGCCCATTGACCACTGGAGATAGCCACCCCCCCGGCACGAAACTACGTGGACAAGCGGTTTCTGAAAATGGATGGAGAGCCCTGTCTCACTCTATATCTAAAATATGTTTTGTGTCCAAAGTAATTTCCATTTTACAGAAAACCATGGTGACCGGATGTGTTTCCCAGTCCCAGATATATTGGGGGAAAATTGTCAGATTATGCATAGATAGCCTCACATTGCTCTGAGTTCACAAAAGGGAGAGAGAGAGAGGCCGCATTAGTGTGTGTGCTTGTGTGTGTGTGTGTGTGTGTGTGTGTGTGTGTGTGTGTGTGTGTGTGTGTGTGTGTGTGTGTGCTTGTGTGTGTGTGTGTGTGTGTGTGTGTGTGTGTGTGTGTGTGTGTGTGTGTGTGTGTGTGTGTGTGTGTGTGTGTGTGTGTGTATGTGTGTCACTGCACTCATGTGACTGCCCTTCACACTCAGTGACCAGGCTTCAGGAACTTGACAGCAGATCCCGCATGACAGGTATTGATCAGCCTAGAAATGTCCCCCAAACAGCCTCAGAAAGAAAAACATACGTCATCAGCAGGCAGGAGGTCTCTGAAATCAGCTCCCCACCAAGCAAAAACAATAAGACAGCCAGAAATAAGGGCAGACCTTTGATGCTGATGTGCTTTTAAACAGAAACCAATTATTAATTACACAAAATATCTAATTTGGTTTAATGAAGTGACGACAGTGGTGCACTAATATTTTATTGATGCAGTTCATTTGTAAAAAGGAACATATAATAATTTATTGATCATTAGTAACTTTGTACTTGAACTGAGTTTCATTTTGACAGCAGGGATAGAAACAACTTTATTAATTTTAAACACATTTCTCTGTCTGTTGGTTGGTTTCTGAATAAAAGTAACAGCAAGAACAATTCTGAAAAAACTTTGCAAGGTGCCAGTGCGGCCACTGACCAGGAAACAAATTAAATATATAAACTGTATCAAAAGAAAAACAAAGGTAACCCACTCATTAGGGTCACCATGGTAACACTGCACCTGTGAGGCAAAGGCAAAAAGGCATTGACAAACAGAAGCGTGGGCTTGTTGTTAGCAGAAATAAAGCCTAATAACAGCTTTAGTGACAAAATGTGATTTGTAATTAAAATTTTTTTGATTGACAGATGGCTGTGGTGGTCACACAGATTGATCTTTGTGTTTCTGTCTAATGTTGGAGATCTGACTCGTTAAAAGAGCTCCTACTTCCAGTTTTGTAGAGAAAACAATGAATTCTGTCTAATTATGAGAGTCTGCCCTATGAAGGATTTGAGGTGAAACAGCGTCACCAAGTTATTCTTGTCTTCTGGTGTACACTTTCTAAATGCAGGAAAGAAGATGTGGGAGTAAGAAGAGTTAGATTAGAAAAAAATTCAATGGTTAACATTTTTACTGTTCATAAGTTAGAGAATAAAACTGTGCTTAAATGATATCAACATCCAGTTTAGATGCAGAAAGGGAAACTTTTGCAAACCAGCCAAATCCAAACAACAATTCCAGTTTAAATTGTAACTTTCTGATATATTTTTGTGTTTTTCAAACCTGTGACAAGTTATGAATCAATAGTAATAAATATGATTTAATGACAATCCACTGGTACATTTTCACATTTGTGTTCCATTAACGTACCAGTCAAACATGTGGTAGAACACATTATTAAAGCAAGTCCTGAACTAATCTGAAAACCCCCTAATGAACTAATAAATACAAATAAATAAATAATCATGCAAGCAAGCAAGCAATAATGGGGCTATTTGTGTAAAAGGTTAAGGATGTATAAGTAGCAAGTTATAAGTGATAAGTAGCAAGCATTAGTTTGTAATATTTATATTAATTAAAGGCACAATATGTAAGAATTCTTAAGTGAAATAATCATGAAACAGTCTAGTTTCAATCATTTTAGAAGGAAGCTTATATTGAAACAGGTTTCCTTCTCAGTCAGTTGGGTGGAGGCCAGTTTTTCTTCTTTCTAAAAGAACAAAGCACGTCATCATTGTTTACAATCTGTCCCACCACAGGCATGCCAGGTCTGCGTCGACAAACACTGCTTTGTCAGCATTCGTAATTTTTCTTGCCTTTGGTCATTATAATACATTCAGTGATGTAAACCACGAGTTGGAATGAAATGGCTGGTCCAGGAGCAGTTTGGGAGTGCTGGTGGGAACTCCGATCCATCTTCTTCAGTTTTCATGTTGGATTCTGAGCAACACTCTGGACCTGAAGGGTGCCGGTGTTTTTCCATTGAGTTTTCCTTTCGTCATCTATTGACATGTTGTGGTGGCACATGTGTTTCCATATGAGGCTGTAGGTCACATGGCACATTTAGAGTTACTATAAGGCTGAGAGGATTCCCTCATCAAAATGTCCTTAGATAGATCAGGACGGAGGAAGGAAGCTGTGCAAAATGTCAGCATGTAAACAAGATGTTTTAGGTTGTTTTAGGTAAGAATCAGAGTCTGAACATCTCTTCCTGTTTTTTCCTTCTCAGTTGAGAATGGACCACCATGACTGGCAGCGAGGGAGGAGTAGAGGCCACAGGCACTACGATGATGACGATGGTGAGGAAAGAAAAAAGTGTTTTGTGTTCATGAAAAAGAAAGATTATCGGCCATCTTTGCTTTGAAAAGTTGTGGTATGGTTTTCTAGAATGCCTCTTTGTGTCTCACTGAGCTAGTGAAAGCTATGATGAATAATGGTTCCATCATTTATTGTTTGACTTTGATTCTTCAGTTGTACAAAACTATTATCTTGTTTTTATAATAATAATAATAATAATAATAATAATAATAATAATAATAAATAAATAAATTTTATTTGGAGCGCCTTTCAAAAAACTCAAGGTCACTGTACAATTAGGTAAAAAATAAAAAAATTAAAACATTCAACGACTAGAACTTTTAAAACCCTAATAAAACATCAGATAGCACGCCAATAACAGTTACAGTGAATAATCTAATTCGAACAGATGATTTTTGAGATTGGCCTGAAATTGGTGAAGGGTAGTCATGCTCCTAATGCGAGCAGGTAAGGAGTTCCATAGGGAGGGTGCCGATCTGCTAAATGCTTGGCATCCCATTGTGACAAGATGTGATGGTCTTAACAGATAAAGCGTATAACTTTTGAAGTAGAAATTGTTTTAATCTTACCTGTTGGGAATTGTTTTGAAAAAAAACCTCATGTTGAAGAAATGGAGATTATTTCTGTTTTAATAGTATAGTTTGATTGGAACAAAGTGGTAATCTTAAATTAGACCAATTTCATATGATCATGATTATTTGCTTGTGGAAATGATGTTGGCAGTAGAGGCTTGCAGCATCTCCATTGTGGCCTGGGGCACTTCCAGAAGGGATATTGCACCATTTTGGCTAGAATAACAATCCGGAGTAAAACTAATGAGAGTGCAAAGGTTCTTAAAACACTGTTAAAAACAGCGATATACAGTGCTACTCATTAAGAGCAAACATCCAGCATTAAAGAAGTTATTTTTGCTCCAACACCCTTGATTTTAATCATTAAGTGATTAACACCTGCTGAACAGGTGAATCAACAATTAGGTGTATTGGAGCAGGAAAACAACTAAAACACGCTAGGTATAAGGGCGCTGAAGGACCAGAATTGAACACCAACAAATTTCTCTTCCTTCCTTATTTCAGTCACCGAAAAAAGGAAACTCTGAACAAAAAGGAATTAAATATTGAATATGGAACAATTTAATAAAAAGCTATATTTAAAATAAAAAACCCTCCACAGAGCATTTAGAGGTGGGCAAAATGAAGGTGAAATATTTCATTTAAAAGCTATAACCCTACTGCAAATCAAGCAGATCGAGCCCAGAAGATGTCGTTATCCTTCTCAGAGGAGCGACCATAAAGATACAAAACCAGAGTGAGCTTAGCTGAAGCCTACAACAGATGGACCCAAATAAAGAAATACACGCACCATGGTATCCCAACGGCAGGAAACCTTTAACATCTTTGCTACATTTGTTCTGTGTTGGTTATCTAATTCCATTGTGTGGTTCTTTTTCTAGACGCAGAGTAAAAAAGCTTTTTTTTTACTTTTGCTGACATGTTTTGGCTACAGCTGTTGCCGTTGTCAGAGCATCGCCGACGTTGGTGGCGTCACTTCCATCTCCATTTTTCTATGGGAGTTAGAGGGCGATGTCGTCCTCTACTGCCCGACCAGCGATGACGATGTTGCCCTCTACTGCCTGCAGATAAACGGAGGGGGACGTGACGCCACCAACATCGACGATGCCCTGACAAAGGCAACAGCTGTAGCCAAAACATGTCAGCAAGAAGGTAAAAACAAATCTCTATCACTCTGTATATGGACAAAGTGACAAAATGACTGGAAACCTAGTTCTATTGTTGCAACTACAACCTCTGTTCGTGTTCCATATTCCAAAACAGACAAAGATTTGCCACAAACTGCAATCAAATATTTTCTTTTGTTTCTTTCAGAGGTCCAGCCATTCTACATTGGTGTTCCAGTTTCACACAGACGGAAAAGACACAGACATCGCTCCTATGCCAATGAAGCAGACCGTTACTCACGGCGCTCCCACTATAATCATCACGCTCACCGTGAACACTCACATGAGGAGTACTACAACGACAGAGAGGAGCAGTATGATGATGATGGAGGCAACAGTGTGCAGCAGGATCAGGCTGATCTCACAGGTCAGGAGCTACACTTGAACCTCACCTAACCTATACAATGATATGCTGAATAGGTACGATAAGTTCATGATGTACAGCATCAAAAACCATGAATTGTTTCATTTGGATCATATTTCTTTTACCTACGTCAGTCATCTAGCATCAAAACGTTGTTGTCCAAAGCCTTCGTCACATCAAAACAGAAATGTTGTGACACACTGTGTATTTACTTAGTCAGGCCCTGGCTGTGAGCTTATAGACTATAAAAATGCAGCTTGGTTTTTGACTGGTTCAGAAAGATGGGAACACATTATGCTTGTTTTGGCAAATTCACACTGGCTGCTGATATAGTATCAGGCCACGTTCAAAATGATGCTTTGTTTTTCAGGCCCTACAAGAAAGTGCACCTTCTTACATGACTGAAATGTTGCACAGATAGGCTTCAAAAGGTTGTCTCTGTCTGCAGAAGACAACCTTTTGACTCTCCCTTGAAAAAAAAAGGGGGGGGGGGGGGGGGTCAGTGTGTGGTTGAATGTTGGGCAGATTCCTTCTCCTTTGTCTTTTTTGAACGTACTGATGAGTGATAATTCTTTATGCTTGGAATGTTTTAAAATGTTTTTACAATGAATTCTGTATTTTTTATTATTTGCTATGTTTTTTAATGTGGTTCTTTATCTATTTAACACAGTCAGTACTTTGGACTACCTTCCGTGGTATTGGAAAGATGTACAAATAAAGACTGATTGCTTGATTGACATCAAGGCACATAGCCTGGTCAGGTGTTTGTTGTTGGACAGGAAATCTGTTAATCTCTTGGTGTGAGAAGGGACGTAATGGCCTACCAACACGTATGTGCTGAGTATTTTGCAACATGGTCCCAAGGGGCCACGAAGTCTGGAGTCTGTAAGCTGATTAGAGCTGAGAACTCTGAGCTGTGGGTGCTTGCGAGTAAGTACAGGATGTGTGTGCCATTTCAAGTGGCTGAAGTAGTTTTTGTGTGTAGTAAACTTGATCCTTGTGTGTGCGTGCACATGTGGAGTGCTTGAGGGCCCTTTGGTGTGTGTCAGCCCTCTCAAAAGCTTTTGGCTCTTTGCTGCTTTGGAGATTTTTTTGTGTGGAATTCTTTCCTACAGCATACAGAAGAACTTTTCTCACCAGCTGAAAGGTGCAGCAGCCACACACCGCCTCATATGTAGTAAACAGAAAGAACTTAGAGATCCTTGAAGAAGAAAGCCCTAAATAAATCTAAGAGGATGTACGGGACGATATTGGAAAGTGCGTCGCTTTTCTGCTCTTATTGAAAAGCAAGACAGTGACTTTGGTTTAACAAGCAGAAGAAAACCAAGAAGTTTTTTTTTTTCACATGACGACTTCTCATCTCCAATCTTGTGGATCTCATTCTATCTGCTCTGATAATTCAGTGATCATTCAGAATCCTCCTGGTGTCTCAATATGGCCTCTCAGATCACCTTACCTGGCTCCACAGTAGGTAAAGATGATTTAATGAAGTACATATGTGAGTTGTCATAAAGAAGTGAACAAAAAAAATGCAAAATTCACAACATTTGTCAGATTAATATTCAATAGTAAATTAAATAGTAATATTTAAGTAAGTAATATTAAGTAATATTAAATGTCAGTTGTATTTGAATGTTTTACATTTTATGGCTATGTTGCTCTTCCAGCCACTTACTCCCTCTGTGAATCCAATCAGAGATTATTGTTTCCAGAGATCACATTGTATGATTGTGACCACTGAAGAGAATGAACAACCAACAAAAGAAACCTACAACTCTCTAACTGGAACACCTTGCTGTGTGATATTAACACACCCTGCTGTGAATATTTATGTAATTGTTCCTGTGGAAGAGATGGATGAGATGTTTACGATCACATGTGGATCAGTTATTACCAGAGCCACCCAGATCTTTGATGTTATAACTTTATTACTTTTTATAACTTTATTCTGATAGAAACATTCTGATAATCATGAATTGTAGACAGATTTGTGAGCCACGTTACGGTGTTGGTGGGAACATGTGCTGTCACACAGTGGGATGAGAGTGAACCGTGCCTTTGGGCCATGGGGTTTTAATGGAGATTGATCTGTCCAGAATAAAATTAGACAAAAGTGTTGGCTGATAGATTACACATGGCTATCAGACAGTCGTTAGAGGACCTGACGTTTGTTCACCAGTTAACCATGACTAATGGGGTTTATTTAAATCAGAAATTGTTCTCATGCTGTATTTAGTAATAAGTACATAACTTAAAGTTAGGGGATTTGTAGATTGTTAAGCTTCATTTTGAAGCTCTTGGTATGTTATTTTTGCAACCACATAACAAACGACCATGTACTGAGTAAACTCCATAAGATGTGACATGGGGGTGCGTCTGCAGTGATGCAGGCATTGTACCGTTCTATCATGGTGAAGAGAGGGCTGAGTCGGAATGCAAAGCTCTCGATTTACCAGTTGATCTACGTTCCTACCCTCACCTATAGTCACAAGCTGTGCGTAGTGACCAAAAGAATGAGATCACGGATACAAGCTGCCAAAATGAGATTCCTCCTCAGGGTGTCTGGGCTCTCCCTTAGAGACAAGGTGAGAAGCTCGGCCATCCAGGAGGGGCTCTAAGTAGACCCGCTGTTCCTCCACATTAAGAAATGCCAGTTGAGAAGGCTCAGGCATCTAGTTAGGATGCCTCCTGGACGCCTCCTTGGTGAGGAACTTCCAACCGGGAGGGGACCTAAAAGAAAATTAAGGACACGCTGGAGGGATTATGTCTCTCAGCTGGTCAGGGAATGCCTTGGGATTTCCCTGGAGGACTGGCCCAAGTGGCTGGGGAGAGGGAAGTCTGGCCTCTCTACTTAGGTGGACAAGCAGAAGAGAATAGATGGTACTGACTGAGTAGGATGTACAACTGAGACTGATAAAAATGACATAGGGTTTTTCTTAGACATAACTAAAAGTTAATTGTTGGGATTATCAACACAGATTTCCACACTTATTTAGGCTTCTACTATAGTGTGGCACCTGACTAATTGTTTGGTTTGCTCCAGCCTGTTGTCAGCTTATCAGCTGCTGCTCTTGGTCTCCGAATCTTGGCTGTTTGAGTGATCTTCCTCCTATTATTGTTAGTCAGCCTACTTCAGTGGTGGTCTTTAATCCTGGCTGAAAACTCACTTTTATTTGTTGGTCTTTAATTGAGTGGATATCTGAAATACATATTATGCTTTTTTTTCAACTAAAGTTTATTTGTATAGTGCCAAATCACGACAAGAGTCGTCTCAAGGCACTTCACATAATAAAATATTCTAAAACAGGTCAGTTCATTGAGCAATCAGAAAAAAGTTTCCTATCTAAGTGTCATGTGCTGTGTCCCTTTGTTCCCCAGCTCCTCCAGTTCCCACTCCAGGTACTCCTTTTGTGTTCTCTTAGCGCCCTCATGTGTCCTTTGTCTGCATCTCTGTTGTGCGTCTTAAGTCAGCATTGTTTTGTCCCTCCCTACTAGTCTCTAGGTCTCTGCTCAGTAAGTGAGCTTTTGGTTTTTGTCTGAGTTTAGTTATTAGGTTTTGGCCTCCTTCCCTTTGGATTTTTGGTTATCTTCCTAAAAAAAGGATTTTGCTTTTTCAACCGCTCCTGCCTGAGTAGTCTGGATTTCTGCATTTTGGGTCCAAACCTCCTGCTCTCAACGTGACACTAAGGAACCCAGCAAATTGCATCAAGTCACTGACTAGTGTCAGCGACTTTACAGCAATCCTCATACTAAACAAGCATATAGCGACAGTGGAGAAGAAAACTCCCTTTTAACAGGAAGACACCTCCAGAGGATCCTGGCTCAGTATAAGCAGCCATCCACCACCACTCACTGGGGATCGAGAAGACAGAGCACACACACACACACACACACACACACACACACACACACACACACACACACACACACACACACACACACACACACACACACACACACACACACACACACACACACACACACACACACACACACACAACATATATACCAAGTAGTGTTTCTATGGTTACATTGCGATTTCTTAGTAAATATTATTTTTGGTGAGGGATAAACTTTATTGTATTTATCCTAGTAAATTTATAATTAAACGGGTAAACTAGTAGTAGCACGTTCAATGTCAAATAAAGTAAAATGTTATTATCAGGAGAGGGAGAATGTTTAAGTGGTTAGAAACAGTGTTCAAGCTGATGGTCCCCTCCATGAGGCCACCACAGCTCAGCAGAACATCACCGTAGCTTCTTCTGAGGAGAAAAACACTTAGAGAAAAAATAAAATTAACAGCTGAAATTGCAGGAAATAACACAGTTAAAGAGCAGATTGTAGAAGAAAGTAGTAGAGTGTGGAAAGTGGTCAGTATGTCCTCCAGCAGTCTAAGCCTATAGCAGCATAACTACAGAGATAACTCTGGACAACCCAGCCTTTTAGATGGAGGCATGTTAGAGGCAGGGCAAGGGAGAGCCGTCTTTACCGACTGTACACTCCTCCTCCCTCTACTCCCCCACTTGTCCAGATCTAGGCTATCATCAGATTTTAACCATAGGCCCTATCAAATACAAATGTTTTAAGTCCAGTCTTAAAAGTAGATAAGATGCCTGCCTCATGGACTAAAGCTGGGAGTTGGTTCCACAAGAGAGGAGCCTGATAACTAAAAGATCTGCCTCCCATCCTATTTTTAGATATTCTGGGAACCACCAGTAAACCTGCAGTCTGAGCGAAGTGCTCAGTTAGGAACATATGGAGCAATCAGGTCACTGATGTATGATGGAGCTTGATTATTAAGAGCTTTATTTGTGAGAAGAAGGATCTTAAACTCTATTCTGAATTTAACAGGCAGCCAATGTAGGGAAACTAAGACAGGAGAGATATGATCTCTCTTTGTAATTCTCATCAGAACTCTAGCTGCAGCATTTTGGACAAGCTGAAGACTTTTAACTACATTCTGTGGACTTCCTGAGAGTAATGAATTACAGTGATCCAGTCGAATTAATGCCATTCAGGTCAGGTGATTGACTAAGCAATTTCCTTTTCTGAATTTCAGATCCTAAGATGAGAACTTCAGTCTTGTCTTGATTTAAAAGCACAAAGTTTTGAGTCATCCAATTTTTTATGTCTTCAAGACAAGTCTGTAATCTAACTAACCGATTAGGTTAATCAGTGTTAATGGATAGATATAATTGAGTATCGTCAGCTTAACAGTGGAAGTTTATCCCATGAAATTAGATTATCATGACAAGGCTGATTTATTTCAGTAATTCCATAAAAAAGTGATATATTTCAAATGCTTACTTATTTATTTTGATGATTATAACTGACAACTATTGAAAATCCTAAATTCTATTTCTCAGATTATTAGACTACTGTTAAAAGGTTCAATATTGAAGACCCCTGGTACCGCATTTTAATCAGCTAATTAACTCAAAACACCTGCAAAAGCCTTTAAATGGTCTCTCAGGCGAATTCCGTAGGCTACACAATCATGGGGAGGACTGCTGACTTGACAGTTGTCCAAAAGACGACCGTTGACATCTTGCACAAGGAGGGCAAGACCCAAAAGGTCATTGCTAAAGAGGCTGGCTGTTCACAGAGCTCTGTGTCCAATCACATTAATAGAGAGGTGAAGGGAAGGACAAGATGTGCTAGAAAAAAGTGTACAAGCAGTAGGGATAACCACACCCTGGAGGGGATTGTGAAACAAAACCCATTCAAAAATGTGGGGGAGATTCACAAAGAGTGGACTGCAGTGCTTCAAGAACCAATACTCGTATTCTTTGTGTCAAGCCACTCTTGAACAAGAGACAGTGTCAGAAGCATCTCACCTGAGCTAAAGAGAAAATGGACTGGACTGCTGCTGAGTGGTCCAAAGTTGTTCTCTGATGAAAGTAAATTTTGCTTTTCCTTTGAAAATCACGGTCCCAGAGTCTGGAGGAAGAGAGGAGAGCCACAGAATCCACATTGCTTGAGGTCCAGTGTGAAGTTTCCAGAGTAAGTGATGGTTTTGGGTGCCATGCCATCTGCTGGTGTTGGTCCATTGCGTTTTCTGAGGTCCAAGGCCTCTACCAGGAAGTTTTAGAGCACTTCATGCTTCCTGCTTCTGACCAATAGGGCTGCAACAAAGGACTTTTTTTTTATCCTCCATGAATCGGATGGTCTCGACTTGATCAATCGATTAATTGGATTAAATGGGAAAATTAAAAAAAACCGCTTGGGAAATATGATCAGTAAAATTTATGTATTTCATTAACATGTGTGGTAACATGTGGTACAGCTGCAGTTCTGCAGCTGACAAGAAGGCCCTGCAGAGGGTAATCAAAACTCCTGAGAAAATAAACACACACCTGCCCGCAAGTGGTGGCATCGTCATTTTATGAGAGCTACCTTTTAGAGCAAACTACATGAACACATGACAAGACAATAACAAAAACAAAAAAACTAAAGTTTAAATTATTGGGGACTCCGTCACTCTTTCAGGTGAGCCAGGCTCCCCTGAAATCCCTCAACTTCAACGCCCAGAGTGAGCTAAAAAAAATCCTGATTTTATCTATAGTACATTGTTTATATGGACTCTTTGTGGATGCTTTTGAGGAGAGAGGACACAAAGCACTGATCATTGATGTGCTCTCAAAGTGAAGCAACCAAAAAATATATAATTACCAAGCAAACGTTCAAATCCACTCATGTCCTCTGGTGCTTTCTGCCAATGTGCCTGATGCATTGGAGCGGATCATCCATGCTTCCGTGATTTCACTTCACTGGCGTGTCTGCTTAATGCATACTCCACTATTTTTGTGATCGGTATCCCTTTGATCTGCCTAATTCCAAAGTAACTCATGGGGTGAAAATATATGAATCTTTTAAACATCTATGGTGTGTTCTTGCTGTGTTGAAATTCTAATTCCATCTTTTAGTTCTTTTTAAAACACAGAAAGGTTTTATTTACCTGCAACGTTTCGCTTACGGCTGCAAACATCGTCAGGCTGACGCTGATGGTGGCGTCACTTCCTTCTCCGTTTATCTGCAGCCAGCAGAGGACATTGTCGCCCTCTGCTGCCCGCTCTCCCCTCTCCGACGATGTAGTCACATGCACGATCCAATGATTAAACTCCAGCGTCCCTGTTCATGGTCCCACATCCACATCTAAGAACAAAGCAAAGCAAAGAACCAGCAACCCAAAAAGACAAAAACAAATACCAGTGACAACCTTACCATACATCAAAGGCATAACAGTGTAAGGAAATGAGAGGTTCTTACTTTTTATTTAATGAGCCGTAAGGCGTGGGATTCCATAGTAAATATGAAATCCACCTTACGAATAGAGGGTTATTTAAACCAGAAGATGGGATCTTTTTATTGCAGAGATTAGGTAACAGTTATGTATTCACTCAGAGACACAGAATAGAGACAGTCAAGTTGAAAAGTTAAGAATTTTATTACTAACAATTAAACTAGACTTACATTAAACTAAATGTATAGTGTAAGTAAAAATGGATGAGACAGTGAATGGATGACGTGTGATGTAATCAGAACCAGCAAATCCGAAGAAGCGATTAGTTCTGACGGAAACTGAAGATGATGTTTTGAAATAAGCTTTGGTTAGTTTCAGAAACGCATGAGACACCATCAAGTTGGTCTACCTGCCTTGTGGAAGTCCTCTGTAGATCAGGAATGCCGAGGTCCAGTGGACCCTCTTTGGAAACCGAGTTGGTAGAAGAAGCCGCGGTTCCGACCAGACCCGTCTTGAGTTACCTCCGGCACACAACACTTTTATTGGCGTCTGTTCAGACCCAGCCTGGGTCGGTGGAGCTTTTATTCTAAAAGGAGCTGTTGTTTCCGCTGGTTGTTATAGCGACTGGATTTTTTTAGCTTGTCGTGGTTCTTTAGGTTAAAGAGTTAAAAGATCACTCCAACGCTTGCTCTGGAACGCTTTGAACTGGCATTAGAGCTGACGTGGCATCGTTTTATACCTCGGATGTTATGGTTTTTTGTCGAATGAAAATGACCAAACACTGTCAGAAGCACGCCTCCGTCAGATCTGTAAGATTCTGATTGGATCAGTGAAAGGAATGTGTTGTGTCCTTTTAACACTACATGAAATGTGTCACGAACTCCTCCCGCTGACTTCATTCCAATCATTCCTGCCACCAACGTGGCGGCTGATGTCATCACGCCGACACTACTTAAGGAAGTGCCGGCGTTTCATTCATTGCTCAGTCATCGTTCTCACCAGACTTTGTTCCGAGTCTCCAGGCTTACCAGCCCTCTAAACCTTCCAACTAAACCTTCAGGAGATAACCACGCAGGTTATTTCCATCACTCCGCGTCTGGGCAACAGATCCTCTCAGTCACGCTTCAGATCTGCCAACGAACCTGACAAAATGAGACCTGTTGGAACACTTAAAGTCACAGTACTTATTATTTCTCTAGGATCATAATAAAGTAATTAATATTATGATTTCACAGGTTGGTCACATCTTATTATTGAATAACACTTTGATGGATTAGCTTTATTAAAATAGAGTTCTTTGATTAATTAAAAGAAAAGAGTTCATTCTTCGTTCTTCTGTCTTCACTGCTGGAACGTAAACAGTTTAGAAGCGAATGCATGACCTTGAGGCTGTTTCATGCACTCTGGCACTGTGTCAAAAGGGAACAGCTGTTAGAGGATAGAAATGGCTCCTTCATCTTGTTACAACAGAAAAAATAAGAGCAACAATGAAAAAACACAACATAAACACACCAATATAAACACACCAACAAAACCATACACAACAGTTCGAAACAGACTAGTACACCCAAAAGACAAGATACCAGGTAAATAAAACCTTTCTGTGTTTTAAAAAGAACTAAAATATGGGATAGGAATCCTTTTCTGTAGGACTGAAAATAGATGCAAGAAGATCAGAGACAGACAAGACAGGAAGCCTCTGTAATATTCCCACCCTGCTAAAGACAGTGTGATGATAATGGGCATCACTGAAATGATCCTTAGCTATTACCCATAAACATCATACCATTGGCTATGTGGCTTTAGTAGAAACTCTGATGCAAATGGTGGACACTGTGACCATGTCATTTCCTAATAGAGAAAGATCTGTCCACAGACTTCAATGTACTATCTCCAAAATATCCATTTGCTATAAACAGGGTTCAGTTAAAAAAATTCCTCCTTCTTTATTTAATACTATGCTATGGAATATTTACTTTAGCAAATAAATGTGGATGACATTTTTACTAATACCATCAGAACTGATAAGAAAAAACCTGACTTTGTGTTGTTATAGTGTCTCCTGCTGCAGAAAGACTTCGCCACATCCTCGGGGAAGAGGACAGCTCTCCAACACCAACAATATTCACAGAGATGGACACACTTCAACAGGATGGGGATGAATTAGAGTGGAAGGAGTCTGCACGGTAACATGTACTCTCACATACATACAATAGTGACAGGACTGTCCTTGGTTTAGTGTTTAGAGTGGCCAGTAGATTAAAATTACATAGGGTGAGAATGGGACAGCACCCAAACAAATCAGTTATTTTGTTTATTTTTTAACATGTAAATAACAGAGGTGTGGACTCAAGTCACATGACGGACTCGAGTCAGACTTGAGGCATTTTCTTAATGACTTCTGACTTGACTTGTTAACATCTATAAAGGCTTACGACTTGACTCGGACTTGAATGCCAATGACTTGCAACTTGAATCGACTTGTGTCTGTTGACTTGATGATTACTTGAGCATATTTGATATTTTAGCACAAAAGTGGCACAACATGGACAAAAATCATAAATCATTCATCGTTCTGGGTTTGATCTTGTTCTGCTAAACGCAGCAGCACTTTGTTTATAATCAGCTTCAGTTGCACTTCCTGCTTGTTTGAGCAAATAAATTAAACTTTAAGATGCTTTATTTCTGGAATTTATTTATTATCATTGTCATTAAATTGAAGTTGGACAGATGACTTGATTATGACTTGAAAATTCAAAGTTAAGGACTTGGACTTGACTTGGACTTCCACATCATTGACTTTGGACTCGACTTGGACTTGGTAGTCTTTGACTTGGACTTGACACAAGACTTGACTGGAAAGACTTGTGACTTACTTGTGACTTGCAAAGCAGTGACTTGGTCACATCTCTGCTAAATAACTTAATTGATTTGTTTTGAACTCCAGATTAAAAAAATATATTATTATTTTTTATGTTTTTGAGGTGGGTGAAATTTGAAGAGAAGGTTGAAGAGGGAGGAGAAAGATGGAGCAAGCCTCACGTGTCCACGCTGACCCTCCATAGTCTGTTTGAGCTCAGGACCTGCCTGCAGACTGGAAGTATTGTGCTCGACTTGGAGGGATACTCACTACCACAGATCGTAGGTTAGTCACTTAGTCGGGTAGTTTTCCAGGAGCGCTACTCAGAGTAACTCGGACCAATGCAGCTCGGCCGTCGACTGCACTGTTCGGTATTTTCTCTTTACCTTCTCCCCTATTTTTAATCCCTGCTCCATTGAGGTACCTGAAGGTTGGTTTATGCTTGACGCGTCCGCGAGGTCTGCACGGCTCCGCGCTGCAAAATTGCGTCATTTTAACAACCACGCCCCTCCACCGCGCCTCCGCACGGCCCAAAATTTCCGCAACGGGCACCTAGGAAAATTTCTAACCAGGCGGACGGTCGGACGTGGAAAAACATGGCGGACTGGCAAGAACTAGTATGGCAGAGGTTCGTAAATACAGACATTTGTATGATTCAGCCCTCAGAGATCACTGTGATCAACATGTTGATAATAATTCTTGGAGAGAAATAGCTCGCGCTGTCGGAAAAGACGAGGACGCTGTTAAAAATGCTGGAATGCCATGTTGTAAACAACAGTAATTTCTACTTCTACTATGGTGTAGTGTTGGATGCATGCCGTAGAGCTCCATGCTGCCCCCTACAGTTTGGGAGAATATTGGCTCACCGCAGAGACAAGCCGCATGAACCATAAACGCTGCGAGTTGTGAAGCGTGTTCCATCCGCGAGCCGCATTACCAAGCGGAAAGTGAATGCGTCAAGCATAAACCAAGCTTGAGTTGGGCCAGCATTGTGATTCTGGCTGCTGATTGGCTAGAGGGCGGAGTCACTGCTTGCTCCAGAGTTTTCTGCCATATGCTTCACTGCCTGCAGCCATTTCCTGGTTCAGAGTCTGACAAAAGCCATAAAACTGAGCAAAACGTCCACCAACACCACCATTTTTCAGTGTTTCTGTGGTGCATAAAAGTTCTCTTACACTGTTTACTGATAACCTCATGCTATTTTGTCAAGAGTAAGAATCACGCAAACTATCATAAGGCTGAGTAGTGCTACTGGAAAGCTAGCTGGCAGCGAAAATCAGGTTGTAAAACTAAACATCAGTAACACAGTCAGAGTGCTAATTTGTGCCCAATGTTTGCTGTTTGGACAGATGATGCATTTTATAAAACCAAGAGAAAACTCTGAAGTTATTAAGCTGTCAACCTGAAGGATTTTATTTTTTTTGTCCTTTTCAGTTTTTTCCATAACAGAAACAGTTTAACCTTACTGATACATGCTTTTGGGAGAATAAAAAGTAATATTTTGGCATTTACATAATAACAGACATTTCTCACATAAATCAGATACACATGAAATGTTTTTGCTGTAGCACCGACTTTGTTATTGTTCTTTCAGACTCTTGCAACATCTTCTGTCTGCACACTCACATGCAAGCACTCTTGTGTAAACTTTACATTTTATCGGTTTCACTTCACAGTTTTCACCAGAATTATTTGTGACACAGCCATCAGCAGCTGCCTCTAGATTAGCCTAGGTCGCTTACAGCAGGAAAATCAAACTATCCCTGCAGGATCAACCATGTAATGGGATGATGGGGAGGTGTGAAAATCTGTCACTTAATATGCACACAAACTTGATACTTTTGTGATTAAAGTGTCTTTTAGATGGCAGCTACTTTGTAACCCCGCTCAGACAAGCTGTTGCTTCAAATGCTCAGAATTAACTTGAGTCAAGCGGAGGCTTAAAAAAACAAAAACAAACAAAAACAAAAAAACCTGTGCCTTTCAGACAGATGTTTTTGTTTCATCTCAATGGCTTCAGCAGGGATAAGGTGTTAACTTCTTTTTCTGGTAGTACTTAGGTGTCCATTTACGTCTCAGTCCTTTGTCCATCATAAATGAGTGGAACATCACAGATGAACATGAACACTGAGGTACACTCCAGAGTCTCAGATCAACTATAGTGTCACAGCTGCCACTTTCAGAAGATCCATTAACCATTGTCACCAGTTCCCAGTAAAATGTGGAAAACCTAAAAAGTTCAACTTTTTTCCGCCATAGACCCATACTGTCATAGAAGTTGTTCTTGAATGAACAATCACTATTGAGGAAATATCACGAGTGGGTTTCTGTGGAAAACCTGTAAATTACTGTAGCAGTTGAAGCTTTCTGAACAGCCTCTGTGAAATAATCCATGCTGTGCTGTAATCATTTTCCTCAGAGGAGATTGTGGACCGGCAGATAGCCGATGCCCTCATTCCTCCAGAAATGAAGGAGAAGATCATCTTTGTGTTGCTCAGGAGACACCGTCACCAGACCAAGAAACCAATCCACCGCTCACTGGCAGACTTAGGGAAGTCCTCCAACACGTCTACCAGTAAGGATTTGTGCTGAGTGTTTCCATTCATTTATGCTTCCCAGTACACAAACTCTGATTCCAAGCACCTGCTTATTGTGAAGCCTTTTGAGTCATGTTGATCAATACTTGTTTTATAAAATCACCTCTTCTTTACTCGTTTCCACTGCTGCTCTGTCAGATCGCAGTCCTCAGGTTAATCTGAGCCGTAGTACTAGTTCAGCTTCTGGGATCCACCGCTCCACAGAAGACCTACGCTCTCGGCAGTCAGGCAGCCTTGGCCGTCTGCGTGAGTCTCAACTCATCACACAAACACGTGTTTACAGCACAAACACACATGTCAGTCAAACTTTATTGTGTCGCTGTTGAATAGAGAAATCATGATGTGGTTTTAATCAGTTTTACAAGACATGACACAAAAACGTTATAAGTTATATTCAGCTAGTTACGTTTAGGATCTGAGTACTGCACTCAAATTCCCATCAATCAAAATCTGAACTGGACTTTTATACTCTCTGTTTTAATCAACTGTGATCCTTGCCAGTGTCTTACTACTGCATGATTGTGACAATTAAAACCACTCTTTATGTGTGTTTGTGTGCGTATCTCCATACTCACCACGTCACTGTGATGCCCTGGGCATATGTTATGTTTACTGAAGAGATTTGGGCCCTGCTGTGTGCACTTTGCTGATTTCTGTGTTAATGATAGGAGTAAAAAGGATCATTGTGGGGGGGGGGTTCTTTGGTGGTTTGTTATGTTCCTGTTGGCTCTCTGATGTTTTTACTGCCAAAAACCACTGAAGAAAGTGAACGATCAGAACACAATCCTCCACAGAAATATTTGGTCATGCGATAAGCACCCCACCCTCCGTGTTTCTTCTAAACAATAGAATTAGGATCGTTGGGAGTTCAAACAAACCAGACTTTTTCTTGGTTTTGATTGAAGTCCTTTTTTTTCAACCTACAACACTCACTGGGCTCCAAATGACTGAGAAACTTCACAAGCAAATAGATATTCAGATGTAAAGTCTCTGCTGTGTTCTTGTCTTTATAAACTCAGACGGCATGTTTCTGATCAGAAATGAGCAATACTTTTATTTCTACAGATCCTGCCCAGAGCCGAAGCATGAATGATATTTCTGTCACACCCAGCACTGATCAAGTAAGTCTTCACTAAAAGACATCTTATAAGGTTATTTCAGGTTGCCAGGAGCTGCTGATTAGATGCATTGACATCAACAGTTTGTCAGGTTTTAGCGGCTGAGCTGAAGCGTAGCGGAGATTGTTTGTGGCATAACTGTGTGACCCAGACGCGGAGTGGCTAGCGTTGGGTTAGACAGAGCACGCGGCTTTATTCTAGGAACGGCAACGCAGCACTCGGAGAGAGCCGAGACTGAGCAGCAGTTCCGGATGGATAAGGAAGCTGACTTACTAGCGGTAGACAGCGTGGGAAGATCCTTCCCCTGGGTTGAGGGCTGGTAAGCCTGAGAACTCGATTCAATGTCTGGTAGGAACGATGACTGAGTGATATAAGAGCGGCGGTGCTTCCGTAAATAGTGTCGGCGTGATGACGTCGGCAAGCCACGTTGGTGGGGGGAATGCTGGGAAGTGTAGTTAGCAGGAGGAGTTCGTGACACAGTTAGTTTATCTCTATAAGAGCAGACGTTTTGGCATTTTGCTGGGCTGGAGCACACAGGTGTGTGTTAACAATGCCACGGAGGAAAATAGTTGGCTATAACCCCAGAGAAGCAACCACTGCTGCCCGTTAATGTAGCAAGGGCTGGGGTTGTAACTTTATTCTTTTCAGTTTTACACAAGATTGCGCTCCAACTTAAAGGTTAAACAAAAAAATTATTTAACTAACAGTAATTTATTTGCTCTGTTAAAATTTTTTTAATAAGACATCTTGGGGTGCTAGTTTGAAAAGTCTAATTGTTACAGGGTTTGAACAAAAGCTAATTAAAGCTGATTAAGATGTTAGTAAGTTAGAGTAACTGCCATACACCTAAAATGCTAAAGCAAAAAAACATAAAAATGAAAATGATGTACACGATACAGGCCAGTACATCCCTTGGTAATCTTATAACCCTCAAAAATGAAACTTTTGCAAGAAAATTGTTTTTCCTCTGGAAAGCAGAGCTGCCAAAGTCAGCACAGGCAGTTCCCAGCGCTAACATCAGTGTAAACAATACCAGACAAGCAGACGTTCCTTTTTGCATTCTTTTATCACCAAGTTTTCGAGGTTTTGCAAGATACTTAACTTTTACGTTTGCAGAAGTGCAATGGATTCAGCAGCTTTGAGTGCCCCTGCATCCCACAACATACACACCTTCCACCTGAAAATACAGGAATGGCTTTGAACATCTCACACACACACACACACACACACACACGCCTGTCCTTCCATCATAGTGAGGACCATCCATTGACTTCAATTCATTTTTGTGACTGTATTGTGCCTAACCGTAACCCTAAACCTAACCAGTGTTGCTGTATCCTTAACACTAATCTCAACTAAACCTTTATTCAAACCAGCAAACCAACAACAGAATGAAAAGAACAACCAAAACAAAGAACCAGAAGTCCAGAGAAATAAGAACCAAAGCCAGTGACAACCCTTCCATATATTAAAGGAATAACGGAAAAAATAATCGCAATAACGAAAAACACAACATAAACACACCAACAAAACCAAACATGACAGTTTAGTACACCAAAAGACAAGATATCAGCAAGACAAAAAAGTGGAGTCATATCATGCAAACTCTGTTATAGAGCAGACATAAGGGAAACCAAATGCCAACTCAACACATGAACAATAGAACAAAAAAAGGAATGTGGGGAAGAAATAATCCAAAGATACACAAGAGCTGAAAGCAGAAAGTACAATAAACATTCTCTAACAGTCTAACATTTAGAGACTGTCACACATGCTTTTGTTCTTTCAAGGCTCGACTACTGCAATGCACTGTATGCCGGCCTTAATCAGGGTGCGGTAGCACGTTTGCAGTTAGTACAAAACTCAGCCGCTAGGTTCGTGACAGGCACTAGGTGCAGGAAACATATCACCCCTGTGTTGGCATCCCTTCATTGGCTGCCTGTGCAATACAGGACAAAATTCAAGGTCTTGGTACTGGCATACAAGGCCTTACACGGAACTACTCCATCATATCTTGGCAACCTTTTGCATAGGCATGCCCCCTCGCGGGCCCCTCGCGGGCCTTTCGCTCAGCCGGCAGGGAGCTGTTGATCGTTCCACGCACTAAGTGCAGGTCACGTGGGGACCGTGCGTTCTCGGTGTTGGCACCTGCACTTTGGAACCAGTTGCCTTTGGTGGTGCGTCAGTCACCCTCATTGGGGGTTTTTAAGACTCGCCTTAAGACCCATTTTTTTGTCAAGGCATTTCAGAATTAGCAAATTTTACCCGGTTTCGATGCCCCGGCCTCTTAGTCTTTTTATGGATTTTAGTTTTTGCTTTTACTCTCCTCTTTTAATTGATTTTATGCTGGTTTTACAATTGCAATATTTTGAAAGAGGAACATTCTTTAATGTCATTCAGGGAATTAAGGGCAAAGTTTAATATCCCGCAGAAACACTTTTTTAAGTACTTACGACTTAGAGGTTTTATTCTGGCACACTTAAATAACTCAGTACATCAACCTCCACTGTCAATCCTAGAAATTAATGTTACAAAAAACTATTTTGATAAAAGATTGGTGTCCCAGTTTTATAGCATGTTAGTCGAAAACCATAAGGACAACTCTGATAGTAGAAGACGGGAATGGATTAGTGACTTACAAGAAGATATTTCATCTATTGAATCGAGTAAAATATGTTTAAAAGCACACACTCAAACAATTAACACTCGTTTGAGAATTGGAGACCCTTGTCTGGTGCCTCGAAATAGCTCAAAAGAATGAGAGATTAGATTATTAGTAAATACCATTGCAACCGAATTAGCAAGTAAAATTTCAACCCATCTACGAAAGTGATCACCAAATCCGAAACGCTTAAGCACCTCAATTAGATAGGGCCATTCAACTCGATCAAACGCCTTCTCCAGCCTCATAGCCAGAGCCTTAGCTATGATTTTGGAGTCAGAATTTAACAACGATATGGGTCTATAAGAACCGCTTTCAGTTGGCGTTTTGTTTGGTTTTAAAATAAGAATGATCAGGGCACTACGTAATGTAGCAGGTAAGCAACCTGTTGTAAAGGATTCCAGATAAACATCTAGTAATGGGGGAATTAATTTTGCTTTAAATAGCTTGTACATGTCTATCGGAAGTCCGTCAGGACCCGAAGCTTTACCTCCCCTCATGTTAGCAATGGCATCCGAAACGTCATTGAAATTTATTTCTCTCTCTAATTCATTCTTCATAGCCTCAGAAATGCAAGGGAAGACCAAACTATCCAAGAAAGTATTTTGGTTCACCAGGTCTAATGGACTGTCAGAATTATATAGGTTTTTATAATATAAGGCAAAGGTGTTTTTAATTTCTATGGGATCCGTAGATAATTCCCTTTGATCATTCCTAATTAAATTAATGGCTCTGTCAGATTCAAGTTTCTTTATCTGCCAAGCTAGCAGTTTACCCGGCTTTTCTCCCTGATCATAAAACGTCTGCTTCAATCTTATTAGACCATCTTCGGCTTTAAGCAAGGACATCTCCTCATATTTAGCTTTAAGGGTTAATAATTCCTGTTTTCTTTGTGTTGAAACATCTATGATAACTTCTCTCTCTAATTCCCCAATTTTATTGTTTAATTCGTTCATTGTCTGTTTAAATTTGTTACATTTAGAGCTGGTGAAACTTATCATTTGTCCTCTAATATATGCTTTAAAAGCTTCCCATCTAATGGCTGCAGTTGTTTGAGTTGTATTAATTGAGAAGTAGAGCTCAATATGCTCTCCTACAAATTTTATAAAGTCAGAATCATGTAACCATTTAGGGTGTAAGCGCCACTTGTTCAAGCGGCTATTCACTTGTTCTGCCTTGTAAAATAGTGAGGTTGGGGCATGATCTGACAAAACAATGCTGTCATATACGCACTCAGTGATATTGGGTAGCAAAGATGAGGAAATTAAAAAATAATCTATTCGGGAGTAGGATTTAAATACTGCCGAATAGCATGAGAATTCTCTTTTATTAGGGTTTTGGATTCTCCATGGATCACAAAGGTTCAGATCTTTCAGATACTGTTGTATTTTTTTCCTTGATTGCGAGTGTGAAGTGTCTGTCCCTCTTGAGCGGTCCAGTTTCGGGTCCAAAGTACAATTTAAGTCTCCTGCCAATATTATCTTACCCGGAAGGGTAGCTATCAATAGAAATAAATTCTCAAAAAATGCAGGGTTATCATCATTAGGGCCATAAACATTAACTAAATGAATAGTTTCTTTCAAGAGAGTTCCTTGAATCACCAAAAATCTGCCCGCTTTATCATAAATAGTGTTATTTACTTGGAAAGGCACTGAACTATGAATTAACACCATAACCCCTCTTGAATGAGAAGGGAAACAGGATGCTAACACTTTGCCTGGCCATCTCCTACGTACTTTCACCAGATCCTCTGTAAGTAATGGGTCTCTTGGATAAATGCTATTGATGACTCAAATTGTTTAAGCCTGGTAATAACCTGTTTTAGTTTAACCAATTTTACCATTCCTCTCACATTCCAAGAAGTAAATTTAAATTTCTTATATGAAGTCATCTATTCTTAATACATCAGATTGTGCAATATATATCATCTTTTGGTTGTTGGTAACCCTTTCAGTATCTCTAGCTTTTGTGCTAGTAATGAACAAGTAAAAAATAAGTTGTGAAAAATACAAAAACACAAACAACATAAAATCTGCCATACATGAACCCCCTTAGCAGTCAACCTGATCGAGACCTCCCCTCGCCCCTCCCCACCCTCCCCCTGACCTTGGGTGCTGTTAAGTGCACACGCTGATCCAATGTGAACAAGGGAGCAGCTAAATCTAGTCGAGCTGACATTATAGTCAAACAAAACCAAACCACCTGAACAATTGCGACTCTTGGCGAAAATATGTATTCTACTTGACCAAATATGCTTATAATAAACATTCCAAACTTTCTTGCAGTATAGCTCTCACCCCAGAGAGCCGACTATATGGCGAAGAACCAACATTCCAAACTC